AGATATAATAATTTTTTTGTGTAAATTTTATTTTTAGCTAAAATATTTAACTAGATTCGACAAATATATACTTAAAATTAAGACATATTTTTTAACTGTTAATTTTTTGTTTTCATACTAAAGAATAAATCAAGAAAACGGATCTATATGAGTGGCATAACTCTACCATTTGCAGATTTTTTTTTAATTGCAACATTTGTTTCATTATTTATTTTATTTTTTATTGAAACAATTTTGTATTCAATATTAAATAAAATAAAATTTTCTCTTGCTGCATTTCTTGTTTAGCCATTATTATTATTGAATTTTAGGATTATTACTGAAAATAATTTTGTCATATAGAAGAAACTTTTAAAAATGATCTCTTCTAGATGCTAATAAATGCATAGCAAAATGGAAGAAAAGAAAAGCCAAAAATAATTACCCAAAATCAACCAGCATGTTGGTGATACCCAAATGGAACACAAACTGTAATTAAATACAAACTGAATAAAACAAATAACATACACATATTGAAAGGGTGGGAAGAAACGAACTAACTGAGATACCTTTGGAAAACAGTATTTTGGCTAGATACTGTAAGGGTAAGTATAGAAACACTGTGCTCTAGTAAGTAAACTACTCAACTGTTGAAATTACTTCATTTGTTTACTCGGATTGAAGAAAACAAGTAACCAAATTATGGAGGATGAGAGCCAAATTTCTAAATATTATAAGTTACAAATAAGAAAATGCGGGAAGCTAAAATGAATCCTGTGGTTTTGAATTTAAATCTCTGGATCTGTCTAAAGAGTGGGCCTAGAGAATGACATCCCAGTAGCAAAGTGCAGACCTAGTGCCCATGTATTGGTTTCTAAAGGAACCAAGGGAACTTGCACAAGTGATGGATACCATGGCTGAAGAAAGGAAAACATAAATGAGACTGGAAACTCTTGTGATACTAGCAAATAAAGAAACACTTGAGAAAGGATGAGGTGTGTTGACAGGACACAGGATCCAACTTTGAAGGAACTTCCAAGTGTGAAAATTGAAAAAAATGGGAGCAGCAAAATAAATAATGGTTGTGTTGGATTAAATCCATAAAATAAGTATCAAAGTCCATATTAATGTAAACAAACAATGAAATAAATACATAGGTAGATACATGACATATAGA